GCTGGAGGCAGCGCCCGCTGCCCTTGGGCGAGGAAAGGGGGGATATTCTCCCCTTTTAGCCCAAAACGTTTCCCTTGCGGATCCCCTTTTCGCGTTGCTGTGCCCACATCGGGCGGTTTAGTGCCGCTTTTCCCACCGAGTAACCTCATCACCTGCCCCGCGATGACGCTTCGTCCTGCCCATGAAATTATTATTATTACATAAATTATCTCGCCGCCCCCTCGCCCCGCGGCTACCTCAGTAGTTCAGTGTGTTTTTTGATTGCATTTTTCCCCCCCTTTACTTGATTTCCCAATTAACCTTTCGGGTTTGTTTCCGTTTGTAGAGCTCGCTCGCCGAGTCCGCGTGGGAGCAGCTCGGCTCCTGGAAGAGCCTTGGGAAAAGGGAAAAGGCTTGGAATCCGCTGGGGCGTTTTTTTGTTTTTGTTTGGGGAGGGGACGGGAAAGCTCCGTGCCGTTAGCCAGGAAAGCCGGGATTTGCCGTGCAGTGAGTAATTTTCCCGTGGGAATTTGGCAGCTAAAGGGTTGTTGCCGCGGTTGTGCCGCTGCGACGCCGGTTGCGGTGGCTGTTCGGCTGCATCCGGCTGTTCCCGCCGGCCCGAAACGCCTGTTGACACCGCGAGCCCAAAAGAACAGCCCCTCGCAGGGTTGCTGTGTTTGTTACAACCGCGTCCTTATTGCGCCTGCTGTTTTATTCCATTTATTTTTTCCCTCAACCTATGAGCAATTGTAGCTAAGCAACTGCCAAAGCTTCTGCTAAACCTGCTATCCAACAGAAGCTGCGTTTCATGGGAGAATCCCAAGAGGAGGGAAAAAAAAAACCCCTTTAAATTTGTTGTTTAAATAGTTACTGCTTTTACCAAGCAGTTTACGGTCTGGTTTAACCCAAACGGAGGCAGCGCCGCCGCTCGCGGGGGCCGACTTTTCCCTCGCCCGAGATGGGAATTCTTTACAATGGGATGTAAAGAATTAAGCTGACAAATGCATAGTTAGTAACGAACCTTTATGGACTCGTCGCTTTAGCAGTCAGCAAAGATTAAGGCCGATCGCCGATAGTTGGACAAGAAGCCCCTGCTACTGGGCTGCTGTTTTAAAATATTCAATTATTGCCTTATATTCCTGTTGTTTTTATCACCTGTGAAGTATCAGAGCAGTCGAAGTGACTTAAAATGTATTTAGTTGTTTTACAGAGGCTTGGCCTTATATTTCTGATGCGCCAGCCTCAATTAAAACTTATTCTTAGCTTTATTTATACTTTTCCTCCCAGCTTTTGGGGTAGCTAGGCCTGAATCGAGTGAAACGGCTTCATTAAGTAATAATAATTACTTAATATACTTAAAATACTGCAAGTTAAATTTCCCTCCAGCGCTCAAAGGCAGCTCGAACTTGGCAGTGTCCGTAGTTCCCGCTGGGCGAAGTAACGACCAACACAAGCGTTTGCAGGGCCGAAATGCCAACGAAATGGGGGTTGTTGGGGCTTTCTAGCGTTGGACTCGGCGCGGCGTGAGTTAAAATCCCCCCAAGCCCTTTTCTGTTGTGACCCGGGGGCCTTTGAATGTTTTTAAACCATCAGGAGAAGCCGGGTTGGAATCCAACGCGCCTCTCGGGTGATTAACGGCGCTCGGTGATAGGGGTTGTAAATCGTTAGCTAAATTACTGCTGGCGGCGGCCCTATCTTGAGCAGAAATCCCCTTCTGGAGAGGGAAACGCGGATTCCAGGCGCGCAGGAATTGATCTTTTTCTAGCAGACGATCTTATTCCAGCGGATGACCCACTGGTCGCTCCGATGCCTAATTCCTTTTCGGTGAGTTATTTCTAGGCTTCCACGCTAGGTTGGAGGGCTCTTCTCCGTACGCGACCCAACGGCCTCGCTGCGCTTCCTCGATATTTGGAAAAAATTCCTCGGAGTCAACTTTTGGTCCGGTAATTATCTGCTGGCAAAGCCTATTTGGAGAGAATTCAAGAATGTCAACCATTTGTTTGCAGGCAAAAATTCCACCTTGCTCTTTGGGAAATAAATCCGCCTCTCCCTTAAGAAGACGGCGAGTTGTCCGGCTCGCAATTCCGCAGCTAAACGCGGGGGATCCGGCTCCTGGGATTGCGTTCTCCGCGCTCGCCGTCCCGCCGCGCGTAAGCGCCGACGCCGAGAAG